TAAGGCTTGGGACTAATGCCAGGAGTTCAGGATGATCAAGCAGAGGAGGTTCGGCAATGATCAGCTTTCTTTTTTTGTGAACCCAGAAGTGCTCTGCTTTTGTTCTGGTCACTGGCAGGCAGGAATGTAAACAATTACAGTACTCTCAGTACTCCATCTGTTTTGAAGCAGTGCAAATGAGATATTAGCTGTCCAATAGACTTCCAATATCTTCATAAAAAGGGCCTGTCACTGCAAACTGTCACTAAAAATTAATTTAGAGTGGGACTAAAGGTATACTGTATGTGTAATGCCCTCAAGTGTAGATACGTTTTTGTGTATAGCTAGAGGCTTGTTAGAAGCTTGGGAGTGAGTCAACGAAGTTACTTTAACCTAGAGCTGAACGGCTCTACAGGTTAGTCCTCTGGTACCTCAACCCTGCTCTAGTATGTAGAAGCTTCTAGAAGCCAGTGGGTGGAGATGAGGAGAGGCTGATCTGTATATTTATGGGAATCTGACCAATCCCAGGCAACAGCCCTTGCAGTGTGGGAGATCAGCCAACAAATATGAGGGAGCCTGGCCAGCAGGGGAGTCGGGTAGAAGATGGAGTGAGGAAGTGCTGCTGGTGTGGAGCCTGGGAGGGGGCCCCAGAGGAGTGAGGTCTACCTACAGGCTGGAAGCTGAAAAGAGGGACCTCCACTGTTCTACAGTCTACAAGTAAGGAGAGTCTGTCAGGGGAAGAAGCCAGCCCAGCGTAAGGCCTGAAAGCAGCTTCACCTTTCAAAGCTACAGGAACAGGACAGTGTGAGTACCTCTACACCCCCGGGCCTACAAGGGAGAGGATGATCAGGTGCAATACCCAACTAGTTCTCCCTGGGACATCATTCTCATGTGTCTCGGAATCCCCTGCCCTGAGATACTCTCATGACAGCCAGATGGATGAGGAGATTTTTAATTTAAGGATACCAAGTTCTAATAAAGACTGTGTGCTGATTCTTCAAAAGACAAGAGCCACTCCTGAATGAGTAGAAAGTCCAGGATCTATTTTTGTGCTTTTTGCTGCATTCTTGCCTTTTTGTACATAGGAAGTTGTCCTCCAAGTTGTTTCAATTCCATTGGGCATCTCATATACCCCTAGACCCCATCCAAGTTGTTAAGCCCTAATAAAACAACAAAAACCAAGCTCATGAACTGTATACCTACTTTGGATGCCAGATTGGAAAATGTGTTTTGCCTGGCTGTGCAGCGCTCAGGTGGACCCAAAAACTCAGTGGCCCTCAAGAGGGTAATGATACATATGGTTTTTTTTTACCTTAACACCACTTTTGTTGAGAAAAACATTTCCTTCAGGGTGATCAACATTGCAAGAATTGTGACAAACTTTGTTGCAAATTCCTACCGTTTGTTATTCTGAAGAAATAGCTGTTTGACTGTGTCCATGTGCAAAATTAATGTGAATGGGAGTGACTTTATAATTATCAATCAGCTGCTGCACCTGCAAGACTCTAATGAGGAAAACTGCAGGGTCTGCATCCCTTTGGGAGTATCTTGCCAAAAATGGCATTTTTGTTGCAGGGGATGCCAAAAATATTACTGCAGACTTTGGGGAAAACCAGTGAGCCAATCACACAAGCAGGAAATGACATTTCAGGGAGCATTCTGCATTTTTTAATAACATTAAATTACAATATGACTTGTGTCGCAATTGTATATCCTATATTATTTTTTAATTGCTATCTGTTCCCCCATGAAAGTGGAGCTACCCATCCTGCAGCCAGGCAGAAGGTATTTTCCACAGCTAGGTACACACACTCTTTCGCTCTTTGTCTTCAATGACTAGTCTAGGGATGTTTGGTTTTGGAGTTTTATGGTAGAACTGGGGATAGTGATGGGGAATATAGTAGGATATTCCAAGATTACAACTATTCACACTAAGGACATCTAGCTGATCTCTTAGTTGAGCACTTTTTGAAGTCCTGGCTGAAAGTAGATAGCAGACTTCTCTTTAAATTGTAGTAACAAGTAGTTTATGAGTGACCAAAGTCCCTTTAGCAGTCGTAGTAGTTGCAGGGCTGAGCTCCTCAGCTCCAGGCCTGTTAAGGGAGACTGTGGCAGTCCAAAAGTGGTATAATTGAGCAAAGTCCAATGCAGTAGCAACAGTTGGACAAGCTCTTCAGAACACCAGCCATTGTTCCCTCTTCTCAGACCCATGCTGACTATCAAGCACCAGAGGTGTAGCAAAGCACACAGATCTCTCAGTGTCTGTAATTACAAGTCCAAGGACAGAATGGTAGCCTCCTTCAAATTTCCAAGCGACTCTCTTTCCAGTGATACCAGACAGAGCTTTGGCAAATGGCTCACCTAAGTCAGCTTACTGTAGAACCAGGGTAACTCTTTCTAATTTCAGGCCCTCAGGTCGCCCACCAGGTGCCAGGCGAGGCAAGCCTGCCTCCATCCTGGCTTGGTTCAATCCTCTACCGGAAAAGACGCTGAACTCATGTGCTCACATAACATAAATACCACTCCCAGCAAGCAATGGGGCCACCCTCCCCTGCAATTGGCCAGGGCTGTATCCATATTCATGCTTCTCATTTGCCTACTTCCCTCCCAGGTTCTGGAAGGCTCTCATAGCTTCCTGAAGGCAGGCAGAACTTAAACAAACTCAGCAGCACCAGAGCATCATGAGCAGACCTGACTAATCCATCACAGTACTCAGATAAACAGAGACTCCGATTAGATGTTCCTAACTGTCTCTCTGTTAAGCAGAAAAACACAGCTATACTTATCTTATCTATACAAATCCTGGCTTCTAACTATGAGGGGTTATAAAAAAAGCCAAAATTATTAAAAATGTTTGTGTATGGTAAAAAAGGAATTACCACTAGAGACCCACTCATGTATTCGAGACATTACACTCAAGGATGCCCTCTTAAATAGCACACTTCCTATCTGTGAACGGGGTTGGGACCCATGGAACCATTTGAGGGCTCTACATGAGCTGTCTGGTGATTGCTATTACATCTACCCCAGTGCTTCCCTGCTGCCTACCCCTTTCCCTACTTTCTAACCCCCTCCCCCCCCACCACGTTTTTTCTTCTTTTCTTTTTTCCCTCTCTTTCTTTTCTTCTTCCTTGATACTCTGTTGGATTGCAAGGTATAACTACAGCCTTTGTTCATGTCCCATAGCTGTGATTCTCATCACTGCTTTATATCTCATTAGTTTGAGATTTACATGGGCTACTGTTAGGTTATTTGATGCTTTCTATAGCTATCAGGGGCGGCACAGTGGCTTAGTGGTTAGCACCTCTGCCTTGCAGTAATTGAGTCATGGGTTCAATTCCCAACCATGGCGCCTCCTGCATGGAGTTTGCATGTTCTCCCTGTGTTCATGTAGGTTTCCTCTGGGTACTCCAGTTTCCTCCCACACTCCAAAGATATGCTGGTAGGTTAATTTTCTCCTGTCTAAATTGTCCTAGTTTCATCCCTGGCCACGTGGGATTTCCTGCATGGTAGGGGTTGGGGAAAGACCTGACAACCTACCCTGTAATATAATTGCTAAGACAATTCATGGAAAAAGTTGCTTACAAGTGACGGTCCATGCAATCGCCAAGGGTCAGATACAACTGAATGGATAGATAGAAAGAGATAGCTATCAGGATTTTCATGTATATCTATGGCTATCAGGCTTTTCATGTATATCTATGGCTATCAGGCTTTTCATGTACATCTCTAGCTTTCAGGTATTTTGTGTATATTTATAACTATTAGGTTTTTCTTGTATTGACACCTCTTTGATTGAATCCTACCTGTACTTCATCCCTTAGTTGCCAATGTTAACTATTTTGCTTGTTCAATTCTGATGGTACCGTTTGTTACACTACTTGCCTTACTGTGTGGACATTGTGTACAAAGGCTTTCTTATTTTTTAATAAAAAATACATTTAAAATAACATTTTAATTAGAGCACAAAAAAAGAAGAAAAACTAGCTAAGAAGGGAAGGTAGCTAGGTGAAAGGAATGAGTTAATATGGGATAGTTGAAGTTAACTAGGGGCTTGGAATTGGTTAAATATTAAATAATTGTATTAGGAAGAAAACATTTTTCAACTTTTTTAGGTTTCTGTAGCTGAAGTTAGAGAGCAGAATAGCAGGACATACAAGGTACATACAGAGCTATTAACAATAAGATACGTATATGAGGGAAGTAGAAATGAATTATAAGTGTTTGATAAGATGGCACATTACACCGAATGTAGAAAATAGGATGTGTGGAGAGAATTCACCGTTGTGTTGGAGGGGATGTGGAGAAAATAGGTACGGTATACCATATATGGTGGGGATGCCCAAAAATCCAAGTATTTTGGAAGACAATAATCCATTTGATAGAAAGGATAACTGAAATAGACATAGGGCTAGACCCAGAAGTATGTATCTTGCACAATATAGATATAACAGTGAATAAATATAAAGAATCAGGCATATGGTACTATCTAAATGCTGCAAAAGGTCTGATACCCAGGTTTTGGCGGAAAGTGGAGGTGCCGAAGGAAGAGGACTGGATAGAAAGAGTGGAGCAGATTAGAAAGATGGAAAAACTCTGCCATATTCAAAAAGATAAGATGGAGGCCTACTATGGGAAATAGGAGAATTGGGAAAAAGCCAAATTAAACATGAAATTTAGGAAAGAATAAAGAGTAAGATAGGAAAAAAAAAATGTACTTGCTCTTATAAGAAGATGGAGAGAAAATGCAGGGAAGGGAGATGGGAGATGGGGATGGGGTGGGGGGAGGAGGCAGGGGGGATAGAGAAATATTCCTGGAAAGGGAAAATAAAGTATGATGTTATATTTTATTTTTTTATATATATAATGTTATAAATTGGAAAATCAATAAATATTTAAATTAAAAAAAACAAAACAATAAGGTACGTATAGGGCTATTGACAATAATAGTTACTTATTTAATATTGCAATACTAATATAAATTTAAGAGTAAACTTGTGATAATCACAGGCATTTCAGATATGTCTTACAATTGTCACCACATTCTAGTTGCAGAGCTTGTTGGCTTGGATCACAGAAAAACTGTCGGAGTTTTATACCAAGTTGCATTTACAGTTGGACTTCTGGCACTTGCAGGAGCGGCTTATGTCATTACTAACTGGAGATGGCTTCAGCTGGCAGTCACTCTGCCAAACTTTGTGTTCCTGACATATTACTGGTAACATTTTTTCATTATCTATCTAAAAAATCAGGTGCAGCAAAATATGAAATTGGACAAGCAAAGACATTTATGGCGTAATTCCACTTTTGTAGCCAAACTGGGATAACACCTACTCTATATTTGTTATATGTTTCCATTTATATAGCATAACTTTTTTTTAAAAAATTACTGCTATGTGCACTTTTCTGATGACTCCCACTTAGTTCTTTTTTATGTAATGCTCATGAAGGGGCTGGGAGTAGCGTTTGCCATAATTAACCTTGTTTATACTGTGCTGCCAGATTTCATTACTAGTTGTAAACTAGATGTACATACCTGTCATTGTTAAAGATTACACATTTTCACTGGTGCATTGTATGTTAGGGCATTATCTCTTAGTGTTTCCCTCCCAGTCCCTTATCTCCACACTGCTATAAATTCAAAGAAATAGAAGCCACCTACAGTGTTTTATGTATTAACCACTTTCCCTCCTGAGGATTTATCCCCTTTCCTGACCAGGCCATTTTTTGCGTTACTTTAACTGACAATTGCACGGTCTTGCAACGCTGAACCCAAATGAATATTATGCCCTTTTTTTCCCACAAATTGAGCTTTCTTTTGGTGGTATTTGATCGCCTATGCATTTTTCATTTTTTGCGCCATAAAAAGAAAAAAAACAAGTTTGTGAAAAAAACAATATTTTTGACTATAAAACATGTCCAGTAAAAAAATTTTAAAAATCAAATTACGTCATAAATTTAGGCCAAAATGTATTCTGCTACATGTCTTTGCTAAAAAAAAAATCCAAATACGTGCAAATTAATTGGTTTAACTGAAAGTGATAGCGTTTACAAAGGCGGCGTAGATACTGGAATTTTCTTTTTTTTTTGTACTACTAATGGTGGCGATCATCGACTTATAGCGGGACTGTGGGACTGCAGTGGACATTCTGACACTGGGAGGAACTGATTTGGTGTCACTGACATCCCCAGTGACACCAATACAGTGATCAGTGCTAAAAATAAGCACTCACACTGCTAATGGCACTGGGCAGGAAGGGGTTAACATGAGGGGTGATCAAAGGGTTAACTATGTGCAGGGAGTGTTTTACTGGGGGGCGGTGTCTGTGTGCTTCACTGTTCTCATACTGTTCTGGGTGGCTGTGCTGTGCACAGCCATCCAGAGCAGTGTGCTCGAGCTGACAAGGAGGAGGAGGACTCTTAGTAAACAAAACAGTCCTCCTCCCCATTGGAGATGCTCAGTAATCACCGGGCGCCGGTGGGCAATCACTGGCTGGGACCCAGTGATTGACAGTCGTGGCCGCAACTAGGGGCACGGGTAGGGTGCACACACGGCCCATGTGCCCCCTACCCGGAAGTGCAAAATCATGTATATATACGTGATTTTGCGCACCCCTGCCACCCTGTAGCAGTAATACTGCTATAGGGCAGCGGGAAAGCGGTTAACCTGCTCCAAACAAACAACTTAAAAGGTGAACATTTTTTTATTTTAGAAATTATCTTTAAGCATGCTATGTGAATGAGAACATATAACAAACATATAGTGGGGGAAGGGGTTCTCAAATTTGACTGCAAAGCTAGAAATATACTTTAAAGTCCAACTTCACTCTCTCAATCAACATCGACTATTTTGAATCCTCATGCTGCTAGTATTAGTAAATAAGTAGGAAAGTATTTCATATTTACCTGTTTAAACTATTTTTTACATTTCTTTAGTTACTTCCTAGTTTTCATGCCTAGGCAAATGTCATACATCCCAGGAGTCTTCGGGGGGGGTTTCTCAGCTAAGCACAGACTCCTGCCTGCATGCCTGAGCTAAGGGTAGATGGATTCCAGGAAATAATTGCTACATGAATCATCTGTCCTTACTTAAGATGGCCACTGCCAGAAAAGCTAGGGGGTGTTTTTCTAAGTCTTTTCTCTGCAAAATAAAGCATGGAGACATGGATGGATGGGTGAGTTTGCTTTGAATATTAAAAATGAATTAAATAGTGCTTTTGATATGTGGTGCTCAGATACAGTGTAGTTCTGCTTTAAATAGACCTTTTAAAATACAGTTAGTCTGACCTGGCCTAAAGAATGCCTAAGCTAACAACAGTGTTGAAGTAAAGGCACGTTGTGATATTCAAGGTACGTGTTTCGGTGCTCTGTGTATCTATGGGGCTTCTTGGATTTGATAGTTAAATAGTTAATTCTGAGACAAAGGGATTAATCACTATTTGGAAAAAAAATGAGGCCCTGTGTGTAGGCCAGACTAAAGCTGGTCATACATGAATCAAAATTCAGCCAGAACCAGCCAAATTTTGATCCATGTGTAGCCCTCTCTGTTAGATCGGCTTCTATCGAATGGTCCTGCTACAAAGCTTGCATTCGATCAGTGCATTCAGCCAATGGACTGCAGCGCTGATTGATGTATTCTGATGGCGGAGGAGTTCAGCTGTCAGAAAACCAAGACACAGCTGGGAGGATTTTCCCATCCACCTCAAATGTGTGGATGAGAAAATCGGTTCATTTTTTTAAAGTTTAAAGCTGGCTGAACAAAAGAAACTGAGCCATGTATGGCCAGCTTTAGAATCCAAGGAGCTCCACAGGGATCCATTTTCAGGTTAACACAGGCACTAGCTATACTGTAGCAGTGTAGTTACTTTAATCCAGGCCAAGTTCACTTTAAAGCTAAAGAACAGCCTTAAGCAGGCCATACATGAGTCGATTCCGAATGATTTTTTAATCGAAAATCGAAAACAACATTCGTTTTGTAATCCGATGGTGCCACCAATGATTTCGAAAATTGGTCGTTTTTCACGAATCTTCCAGCATGCCCGATAAACTAAATGGGGAGGAACCACGAAAATCGACCGGTGTCATTGCCCCTTAACAGAGCGAAAATCATCCGATTATTCTTAGGTCCGATTTTTGAATGAAAACTTCGAAAAGTTCATGGGTTTGAAAATCGACCCATGAATGGCCGGCCTTAGTTTTAGTCTTATAGGGTTGTATAGACTCCTCTCCTGTCCTGAAAGTGCTTATTCTAATTCATTGCCTATTGTTAGCTTCTCACAGTGTGCATTTGAAGCTGCTATAAGTCATATTGACCCGCCTCCTTTCCTGGCTCATTTCATCTAGCGCTTTCCTGCCCAGCCTTATTGTCTCTGGCCTGCCCCTTTCATTCATTAAATTTAAGTTCTTTCAATCATGGAGGCTCAGCATCACATGAGTGTTGCGTAGAGTGGTCTGCATGCAAATGCAATCTGACTAGGAGCCAACTAGGTAATTGATGTCAGTAGCTACTTACCCCAGATGGTTACTTGCCACTGGATCTGCTGAATGATGTCAGCACCAAAACTGTAGGATGTGTTGGGTAAAAAAAGGCATGTGTAAAGCTTGATGGTGCTGCTCCAAAGCTAGATAAGCAGAAAGGATCACCCCACTGTCATGGGAAGGAAGAGAACAGTGTCCTCAGTCCGTTCCAGTGTTTGGGAAGAGATAACGGGGAGCGAACGCTGCTCAAGACCAGCCCCGGGAGTCCAGTGTGCTTTATGTGTGGAGTGACCTCAGCACCGCATTAGCCATGCCCTTCTGGCGCGTTTTAGCCTGCCCATCGGGGCTTGGTCACAGAGGTCGCCAACGTGACCAAGCCCTGATGGGAGGAGTGAAATGCATCAGATCACATGGCTAGTGCTGTGCTGAGGCCATTCCACACATATAACACATGGACTCCCGGGGCTGGTCTTGAGCGGTGTCCACTCCCCCTTATCTATTCCCAGGCATGGGTAAAAAAAACACTCACAGACTGGCTGTCCCTAGATGCGGGGACACAGCTGGTGACCCGGGTGATGTGCTAGAGGTGACAGGGTCTATCGATGTCCATCCTACATAAAAGTCTTTGAAGTACAAACCAAACTGCAGAGAGCTAGTGTGGCAGGACCCAAATATTGCAGAGTTTCCCTTTAAACTTTAACATTTCTAACAGCCTCTGTTCGCAAGGTCATCAGCTCACTTCCCCCTTCCCTTATTTCCTGTGAAGTAATGTGTTCCAGTCTGTAGCTGGTATCCTTATCTGTAGCTGAAGATAAATTATAATTGCTTAGAAAGCCTTTTGAATGTACAGAAAGTGAAAGAGGAAATATATGAGAATGAGATGTTTTTCAAGCCACTTAGCTTGCTGGCATGAGCCCTTGCTGGGTCACTCAGCGCTGATTAATAAAAAGTTTGTTTTCCTCAAGTTTGTGTCCGGAGTTTTACCTGGTATTCCAAAAGTTGCTACTACACTAGGAATCAATTCACATATGGCCTTAAGAATACAGAAACAGCAGTGGAGGACACAGAGGATCAGCACTCCTGGAAATTTTGTTTTTTTGAAGAAATTCTGCCAAAATCAATAATTAATCATGTTATTCAAGGCAGCTCCTGATGACCATGGCAAACCTATGATTCGTAGTTGCCTAGCTAAATACTCGAGTCAGCTGCAGCAGAAGTTCAGTATCCATCTAAACTTTGCCAGATAAGAAAGCAGAGAGATTTGTAGCTGCTGCAGATCTCCGCTACACATTTGCTAATGTGACGTGGCCCTTATATTAAAAAGTAATTTATTACAGGTTTGTTCCAGAATCACCTCGATGGCTCCTATCCCAAAACCAGAAAGATAAGGCCAATGAAATTATTGAGCATATTGCTAAGAAGAATAAGAAACCTATACCTGATACTTTACAGGTGAATATCTGTTTTCTGGTCATTATGAAGACGCACATAGTTTTCGCTTGCTGCATGCTGCTAAGCCCTGCCCCGTGTTATTTGCATATTGAATGCCGAAACCACTGAAATTCTAGCATTTAGTAGTTGAATGACAGGTGGCAGGCTTAGTAATGGGAGGGAGCGGAGCTTAAAATATAACCAAAGGCAACAGTTTTATTTGGTTTTGGATAGAATGGAGAGTGATTAGAACACTTGTCATGTTTTTATTGCTGCCCGTGCCCTCATTAGGGAGATTCTTCCTCTCTGTTTATTATGTTTATTGTGTTATTATGTTTACTGTTGAGCCCTGGTTCACAATGATGCGGTGCGGAATTCGCAGCGTTTTCTGTGAAAACTTCCCACCCTGTTCATGAGAACCGCTGCGGGTGTGTGTGTTAACAACACCCCGAAAGCGATCCGCAAAGCGCGGTGCGATGTACAGAATTGGATCGCATAGGTGTGAATACCCATGCAATTTGATTTTAGCGCGGACCCAAAAAAGGGTCCTGTACTTTTTTGGTGAGGGTGCTGTGCGATTAGAGCCATACAAATGTATGGCTTCAGTTGCACTGCACACAAATCGCATATGATGTGCACAGGAATGCGGTGCGGTTCCTGTGCGAATCATATGTGATATACCGCACTGCATATATGTGAACCCAGGCTAAAACTTAAGGTAAAAGAAAAACAAATAGAGGGGATATCTTTTTATGGGGAGACCCTGGTTACAACCAGGGTTTCCGTTACTTTGGGAGGATCTCCTCTCACTTACTGTTTTGGCTATGGGACAGGAAGTGACAGGATATCTCCCCAATGGGACACAGATGGCAAAAACATGAGTTATAACCCCCCCTCCCCTTACGCTATACAAAATGAAAGAAAACATATTTTGCCTATAGTTCTTTAATTCTGACTGAGACAGATGGCAATGCCCTTTGTAAAATATTTATCTTAGCTTTCAGAGCTTCCACAGGGACACAGGAAGTGGTTTCAAGACAAAAGCAGGTACTTGCAGAGAAGGCCTGCCTACCCACAAGGTGACCTAGACCAGAGCACAGGGCTCATTGAGTGAAGAGGGGGCATGGCCATTATTACACATCTAGCTGTAGCAAGTTTCAGCCCATTTTGTAGGCACATTGCCAAGATTCTGGCAGAAACAAATCATATAAAGCATCTATCCTCTTGGGTCTGACACCCCAAATAATGTCCTATCATGTAGATGCCAAGCAATCACAAATACCTGATTGGAGTGTGCTGCCTACCAGGTGCAGTGTGCAGGACGTAAGGGTTAGTTCACCTTTTTCAGAAAAAAAGAAAAGGTGAGAGCTAACACTCTACACCCCTCACCCTCTACCCTCACCACCCATGTACTTACCTCCATGGATGATGAGCTGTCAGTACCCACGCAGCCAGTGCAGCAGCCCAGGGTTATGAAATTCCCTCTTTTTTTCCCTCTTCTCTCTGCAGGGCTTCCAGGACAGATCAGAATGATGCTCTGTGTCTAGCCAATCAGAATTGCTCTGATCTGTCCTGGAAGTCCTGAAAAGAGAAGAGGGAGAAGAGAGGGTATTTGAGATCTCCAGATCACTACACCATCTGTGTGGGCACTGACAGCTCATCACCCTTGGAAGTACAGCAAGGAGACTAGGGGGTAGGAAGGGTTTAGTGTGCTAGATCATCTTTCATTTTTTTTATGTTGGCGAAGGGTTTGCCTGATTGGATACATATTGATTGTATACATTAGATACATCCTCACATTACCTAGTTTTGATAAATCTAAAGATTGTTCAAAGATTGTACATTTAGACAGTGACATGTATAGAGACCTATGGCTATGGCTACACCTAGTGTCACATTTTTAAGTGTTTTTTTTTAGCAGAATTGCACGGTTTTGCAGCTTTTGTCAGTTGTTTTTCAGGCTTTTTTCAACCAAATGTTATTTATGTGACCAATGGATTCTAAAAAAGAGGAGGAGAGCTTCAGGCTGAGCTTAAAAAACTGAAAAAAAATGCTTGAAAATGCTCTAATCATGCTTTTCATTTCTATGGAGACAAAAATACTCAATTCTGCTTGAAAAGTAGCTCATGTACTTTTTTGAGCAACACACATTTTGCTACAAGCGACTGAACGGTGAACAAGGGCTATTGAAAACAATAGGTTTTTACTTGTTAAGCGTTTTTTTTGAGCTTCAAGCAACGAACTGCTCAAGTGTGAATGGGGTCGTTAAAGCTGTTGGCTAGTGGTGTGAAAGTTTAACAGGTTTTTGAGGTCTTTCTGTTTTGTAATGTTTTCCATGTTCCATCCTCTCACTGCTTTTACAGATTCTGAATATTTTCTTTGTAATTGCATTATGCCTATTTTTTTTATTTAACCATTCAAGATGACCTTATCTGTTGGATGAAATATTTACAACTTTATGGGAAGATAAGAAGCAATGATGGGTTTGCAGGACAGTGTTAATAGGAACAGCATTGCTTGTTATGTGATCTGTTCTACATAAAAGTGACTGATGTTTAGTTCCAAACCACTTCAGTCCCAGAGCCTTTACTAGTCCTAAAGTATTTTTGGGATATATGTTAGTTCTATTACTTATTATCTTTTATGTTTGTAATTTTTTAGAGGGATAGAAAATTTATTGAGATGTACACAGAGTTTAAGGGCCCCAAGCTTTAAATATGCTCAAAACCCTGTTCAGATTTAATTCAACTTTACTTGCCACGACTACTATGTGCATGCACTACAGTCTCCTCGCCACTAAAGTAAAAAAAGATGGGTCATCTAGTTGGTGTCCTTGGCCAAATATAGGCATGTCCATGTTTGGTCAAATATGTCACCAGGTGACTCCACCAAATTTGTTTACTTTAGCGGTGGGGGGAAATGGACATGTCATTCAGTGCCAGGAAAGCAACAGGATCGGAAGTGTATCTACAAGTCCCGCTAAAGCAAATAAAGTAGCAGAGTAACCTGGGTGAAATTATTGATGCCCTTTTTGTCCATTTGGAAACTCGGGACTGCCCAGGGTCAGTTTGCCCCTGGTACATTCACCTGTCATTCCAGAAACCCCCAGTTAAAGTCCCTGTCGCTAAAGCTAGAGTAACCTGGGTGAAATTATTGAGCAGGGCAGGACTGACCATTGGAAAAATATGATCATTGTTAGGACTGCATGCAGGACCCCTGTTAATGCCCTTTTTTTTTAACATTCCACTTTGTTTACATTTGTCAGCCAGAAACCCCCAGTTAACAGCTGAATGAGCAGGGCAGGGATATGTCATTGATTGTTAGGACACTGGCAGGAACCTGATTCCTTGATAGCCAGCAACTGTCACATGTAGCAGTGGTAGGAATAAGAAAAGAAAAGGGGGATTTGTAGGGGCCCCCTTTTTCTTATGGGATTGTGGCAGGGGAAATAAAGTTTCAAGTCCCCCCACTGTATTTATACAGTGGGGGAACATTCTAGAAGGTCAGTAGGGTTTTTAGTCCCCCCCATTAGTGTGAGGAGGAGAAAAACCTGTTAAAGTTTCTAGTTCCCCCATGGTATACTATACTAATATAATGGGGAAGATTCTAGAAAATGGGAGATTTTAGCCCCCCACTTCACCTGGACAATCCTGGAAGAAAAAGTGACCAATAGGGAGAAGAATTGGAGAGAGGAGAGGGTTATAAAAGGGGGGTCCGTTCACGGAAAAAACTGAAACCTGGGAGGCATCTCTGTGTTGCTCCCCTCCCACCCGCCCCTTTTTTCGTTGCAGCCAATTATTATTGGTATGTATCATATTAAATGATGGTAGAACACGTAAGTATGTTAATTGCAAAAAGCTGTATGGTTAATACGCATGGTTGATAAGTGTTGTGTTAATAAGTACAGCTTGAGTCATAGTGACTAAGCTGGGGTTTTGCGTAATATTAATTTAAGTAAAAATGTTTTACAATTATTAGTAAGCTAATATGTAAAAATAAAGAGTTATTATAAAGAATGATATTTACACCGATAATAAACCGGCTGCGGCCAAGTTAGCACCAAAACAATAAGAGTTGTGGTCATTTATTGTTATAGAATAAAGAATACTGCCTACAGTCCCATACTACTACTAAATGTTTAACTTTCCGCTTCAGCCAATGGTAAAATTACATGTAAAAAATGCATTAAATACAGCAAATTAAATACATTTTAACATTTGCATTTTAACAAAATTTTTTTGATAAACTGAAAGCTTTTTTGAAAAATAACACATGCTTTAATTTACCACTGATGTTCATGCGGTATTTTACACTTAGTAAATTGAGCCCACAGTTCTTAAAGTCTTTTGCCATCCATTCATGCTATTTGAGATTCCATAGGTTGCAGAGCAGGATCTTACAGCTTAAAAGCTTAAAAAAAAAAAAAAACTACTAAATGATATAAAAAGCTGATTTTATGTAAGTGTATTTTTTTTAAATTTCAGAGTCTAACTGCAAATGAAGACAGTGGTGATAAACAAGTTCCATCTTTCAAAGACCTTGTGAGAACTCCCCAGATAAGAAAACACACTTTTATTCTAATGTACACCTGGTATGATACATTTATCTGTAAAATGGAACTTTGCATATCTATTGAATCGTTTAACAGCAGATATAAAACTTTCTGTTATTTTCCTATTTTACATATTAAAAATAAGCTGATGCACAACATAACTGCTGCAGTTTTGGTCCAGAGGAAGGGAAAATAAAAATCCATAGGCATTTACACCAAACTTTGCCACACAAAGAAAAAAAGAAAATCCTTCCTAACCCCCAAAGATAGTTGGCTCTATTCCCTGGTCAACATATTTCTCTAATAATGAATTGTAGCGAAAACTTTGAATATTATTAGCTTCAACCATAGGATTCTTTAAATGTTTCCAATACTGGTTTTGCCATTTATTTTCCATGTGGTAAATAAAGCATTCCAAAGCTTAACCATTCTTGTTCTTATTTAAAGAACCCTTTCCAAAACTAATAGTAAAACATAATTTCTTCTACATGTTATCTGACATCCTTTTGCCCTTTGTATAGAAATGGGATTAAAATGCATTTTGCAAATTCTTTATACTGACCTTAATTATGTTTAAGCATGTTAGTGAATTCACATCGAAATCATCTTTTTTTGCAAACTAAACTTGTTCCAATCTTTCACTGCAAGTAAGATTTTTCAAACCTTTTATTAAAGTATTTTCCTTCCCTTGAACCCTCTCCAAAACTCTCAAAACATCCATGTTACAAGGTGGGGCCCAGGATGAGGCCCCATTCTCTAAATGTTACCTTACACGTAAAATACTATATATACAACATACAATAAATATTTTATAAGGATCACATAGTTTTATTTCTCTTTTTATTAATCTCACGATTTTGTTTGCTTTAAGCAAATTGCGACAAGTTGTAAAATTTGTGTCAAATCTTCTAAATGCATTGTTTCAGTAACTGTCACTGTTGGCTGATAAAGACTCGGATTTATGGCTTTGAAATGCATTTTACAGGATTTTGCATTTTACAGGATAGCCAAAAAAGCTTTTGTTGAGCATTGATGTTCCATTGATGTTCTACTATTGATGATTTGTGCAGCAGAGCTATCATTTTCTGTCACTGCAGCATTTATTTTGTCTGGGCCACAAGAATGTTTAGAGTGCTCCATACATTCTTCTGCAAGTGTGGCAAATCTGCCAAACCTTATATTATATGAGTCCCAAGTCTGCAACAAATTCACCAAAGGGAGCACATTAATGGACACAACATACTGTATACAACTTTATTGATAAATGTCCCCAAATGTTTCTTTTTTTTTCTCAATATAAAATCACCTAAACTGTTGCAGGGACACTAAAATAGAATATTGAATGGGGTTAGTCTTATTATGATCAATTGTTTTGCTACTTGCTGCAGAGGCAGATGTGCATTTACAAGGTACTCCAACTTTGACAGCATAAAACTGGGCAGTGTTATGTGGTAAGGCACCTGCCCATTCTTAATTGCATCACATAAACCCACAGTTTTTTTTCTCTGTGATTCAGCTAATTAGCATATTGTATGTATGTATGTATATATATATATATATATATATATATGTATATATATATAGTATTTATATACAGTGGTATATTTAGTTTTGTGCTTCCCTAGGCAACACCAAATTCAGCCACCCCCCTGCGGAGAGAGCCTAACGCCAACCAACACCACCCTGACCCCCCCCCCCCCACCCGAGAAAGCCTTCCACTACCACCACCCTCCATACACCGCCTCCCCCCCAGCGAGCGGGAGAAACACACTCACCTTTACAGCTCCAGGCATCCCCTGGAATGAGAGTCAGGCTCTGCATACACCATCAAGCAGCCCGCAACCTCTCAGATCCCACCTGGTCCCCATGCCGCATGTGTCCCTTCTTCTGTCCATCCTTCCGGGAGCAGTGCTGCCCCCCTGAAAAATGCCACCCTAGGCAAATGCCTTGTCGGCCTTGTGGTAAATACACCCCTGTTTATATATATACTGTATGGGAATGTAGTTACGGCACCTCCAGCACTGAACATATGTTACCAGCAAGTGATTTTGCAGTGTACTGGTAGTGGGGGATCTATGTTTGCTGGGGACGTCTATTGTTCCTGTTGGGGGATAATTGTTACTAAGGAGGTCTTATGTTGCTGGGGAGGATCAGTTGTTGCTGGGAGGGATTTACTGTTGAGGAAGAAGTCTGTTGATGCTGACCGCTGAAGGGTCTATTATTGTTGTCTGCTGAGAGATCTGTTGTTGTTGCTGGGGGTCTATAGTTGCTGGGTTGGATGTGTTGTTGGGATGGTATTTTGTTGCTGGGGGTCCATTGTTGCAGGGAGGTTCACAGTTGCGGGGCGATGAATTGTTGCTGTGGAGTGTAATGTTGCTGGGGAAGGATCTACTGTTGCTGGCTGCAGGAGTCTATTTTACTGCTTTTTTTGCTATCATTAACAAATTCCATACAAATTACTTAGCACCACAAAATTAAACTTGGTTCCGTAACTTCTAAAAGAGGTGGAACTGAGAGGTGGGTAGGGGGTGAAACCAAGGGACGGTATTCAGAGGTGGGTAAAGGGTGGAGACAAGGGGGGAGTTCCTGCAGGAAAAAAAAAAAAAAAAAAAAAAAAATATATATATATATATATAATTGCATACTCAGATCCTCTTCTCCACAGAGAGAAGAATGCTTGGTTTAATTGCAAATAGATTTTCTGTTTTTGAAAATCTCTTTTCGTATTATCATCCCCCTAGGATCATACACCAATCCTCATCCTATTCACAGGAGATGTTCAAGTCAGGTCTGATATTTGCAAAGATTAAACCATGTCTGGGCATCCTAGGCACAGACATGACCATTCAGTTAATTAAAACATGCTTGTCATGTTCTTTCCTATATCTTTAGGTTTACATGTGCTGTTGTTTACCAAGGATTGATTTTGCACATAGGATATACGGCTGAAAACATTTACTTGGACTTTTTTATCTCTGCTATGGTGGAATTTCCTGCGGCATTTATAATAATAGTTACAGTGGATCGCATTGGACGCCGATATCCTTGGGCAGTGGGTTGCTTTGTGACAGGTCTGGCCTGCCTTGTTACTGCTTTTATCCCTGAAGGTAAGTCTGTAAGACTCATATAGAGGACAAGTCCTTGTGTGTTTTCATAATTGGTTCCCAGCTTAGTAGTACAGTAGATGTATTCCCACTCTACCAGCTGCATCCATAGATGCCCTCAGCTTATATGCATAAATGTACAGTATTAATATACAGGAGCTAAAATGAGTACAGACCACTAGGGAATCTCTGCACTTGGTCAGTGGGATAACTTCGGTGCAAATATGCATCCTTTACAGTAAACTATACACAAACCTGAACAATTCAAACTGAGCATAGACAGAGAAGGTAAAAGGCTATGGAGAGATATTGTATACACCAGGCTTTTTAATAGTATTATTAATACATTTATAGTAATAATTATATTTTTAAAATACTTTGGAATTAATGACAAAATGATAATCAATATGTGAAATATGTGCTTTTTGTTTAAGATGTGAAAAAATAACAAAAATCAGTATCAGCTTTACGTTATCATACATTTTAAAAAATACAAATTTCATGTTGGGTCCTTCTCTGTCAATACAAGGAACACATATATCTCATGTAAATCACTTTCTGAGTATGACACAATTTGAATTAATGTAATCTACATATTCTGAGAAATCAGCAGTGATATAAGCACAAAGAAAAACTCTTATAAGAGTCCTCTCAAATATACATACTACTTATAATTTAATGTCCACATACCCCGGGATGACAAACTTAAAGTGTTACTAAACCCACAACAGTAAAATCAGTCTGTATATGCAGTAAAGCATGCTTGTTATACTCACTGTGGAACCTAAGTAACCCCCCAGATACCCCAACCCTGATCACAGCTCCCAGATATCCCCCACTCTGATCACACCCCCAGATACCCCCAGATTCCCCCCCATCCCTCCACTCTGATCACACCTCCAGATCCCCCCAGGTCCCTCCACTCTGATTACACCCCCAGATAACCCCCACTCTGATCACACCCCCCAGATAACCCCCCCGGATTCCTCCATTCTGAACACAACCTCAGACATCCCCCAATTCCTCCACTCTGATCACAACCCCGGATTCTCTTCACTCTTATCACACCCCCAGAACCCTCACCAGATCCCTCTACTCTGATCACACCCCCAGGTTCCCATCCCCCCATCCCTGCACTCTGATCACACCCCCAGATACAACCCCACTTTGATCACACCTCCAGATACCTCCACCCTGACCACCCACCAGATACCCCCACCATGATCACCCCCCCCCCCCCAGATACCCCCACCCTGTTCACACCCCCCAGATATCTCTGGTTTGATCACACCCCCCCAGATTCCCTCCTCCTGGATTCCTCCACTCTGATCACACCCTTAGACTCCTCCCCCAGATTCCTACACTATGATCTGACACCCCCCCCCCAGTTTCTCTCCACTCTTTCTCAGTGACAACAGCTAAATAGCAGGTAAACTAGAACAAACTCCACACTGCGACCTCTCTCCTACCAGGCACAGCATGAAGGTTTTAGTTTGCCTTCTGCCTGGGCTGCCTTATGATGGCACTAGCCATGTCTGGGCCCCTCTGAATGTTGCGCCCGGGGTGACAGCAGCGACTTCTCCCCCACGCACATGCTATGACACTGTATATATATATAATAAAATTGGTATAGATATCTAGCATACATCAGACCAAAAAGAGGGAAAACTTTAGAAGAAGAGGAGACCGAGAGATTCATCTCTAAAAGATGGGACAGTCCCTCTAAATTAAGGACAGTTGGGAGCTATGCCGGTATCTGAGGGGAGGATGGTGGTGGAAGCACAGATTAGCAGGTAAGTGTAATTAGAGGCTGGGATAGCAACATGAATTGAAGCAAACATGGTAGAGCTACAGGGACTTAATAGATTGGTCCAACAGATCACTGCAGGCAATTGAAAAACAGGAAAAACAATGGAAGGCAATAATGGACTACAAAGCAATAACTACAATATAGAGTACATTACAAGATGCAAAACACAGAATAGAGGAACATAACACAAGACAGGACTGATAAAGAACAGACACTGTACAATTTTATATATTATACCTGAGTACTTTTCTAATAAGTCATCACAGATGGACTGCCAACAATGAGCCAGTTTGTAAAACATCAGTCTAGTACTTCTCTTTTTCAGGTTTACAATGGTTAAGACTGATACTAGGATGTTTAAGCAGAATGGGAATTACACTTTCCTTGGAAATGACTTGTTTGGTGAATGCTGAGCTGTATCCAACCTTTATCAGGTAAATAGATTATATAAATACGCAGATATACACATCAGATACTATATATATATATATACATAATATAATAAAAATGTGAAAGTGCATTATATTTAAAGCTAAGGTTTAGGTAACACAAATTTTTCAGAGTTACATTGGTCAGGCTTGGACCAATGTAAGTATGTATAGGCCATACCCATGGGATCCCTGTGGAAGCTGGGAATCACTGTAGTAGGCACTGCTTATGCAGTAATCTGCACTAGCTTCAGGATCCCAACCTCCTATTTTCAGTAAGCAGCAGGGCATGGTGAACGGGATGGGACCCTGATTTCCAGCTTCCATAGGAATCCCACTGGTGTGGCACATAGAGTGCATCCAGAAAGTATCCACAGCGCTTATTTTTTGCCACATTTTGTTATGTTACAGCCTTATTTCCATAATGGATTAAATTCGTTTTTTTTCCTCAACATTCTGCAAACAATACCCCATAATGACAACATGAAAGAAGTTCATTTTGAAATCTTTGTAATTTATTAAAAATAAAAAACAAAAAAAAAACAAAAACAAATGTACATAAGTGTTCACAGCCTTTGCTCAATACTTTGTTGAAGCATCTTTAGCACCAATTACAGCCTCAAGTCGTTTTGAGTATGATGATATAAGCTTCGCACACCTATTTTTGGCCAATTTCTCCCATTCTTCTTTGCAGTACCTCTCAAGCTCCATCAGGTCGGATGGGCAGCGTCAGTGCACAGCCATTTTCAGATCTCTCCAGAGATGTTGATTCGGGTTCAAGTTTGGTTCAAGTCTGGGCTCTGGCTGGGCCACTCCAGGACATTCACAGAGTTGGCCCGTAGCCACTCCTTTGTTATGTAGGCCATGTGCTTAGGGTCGTTGTCCTGTTGAAAGATGAACCGTCACCCCAGTCTAAGGTCTAGAGCGCTCTGGAACAGGTTTTCATCAAGGATGTCTCTGTACATTGCTGCATTCATCTTTCCTTCTATCCTGACTTGTCTCCCAGTTCCTGCCCATGAAAAACATCCCACAGCATGATGCTGCCTCCACCATGCTTCACTGTAGGGATGGTATTGGCCAGGTGGTGAGCAGTGCCTGGTTTCCTCCAGACATGACGCTTGGCATTCAGGCCAAAGAGTTCAGTCTTTGTTTCATCAGACCAGAGAGTTTTGTTTCTCATGGTCTGAGAGTCCCTCAGGTGCCTTTTGTCAAAATCCAGGCGGGCTGCCATTTGCCTTTTACTGAGGAGTGGCTTCCGTCTGCCACGCTACCATATAGGCCTGATTGACAGAGTGCTGCAGAGATGGTTGTTCTTCTGGAAGGTTCTCCTCTCTCCACAGAGAAACAGGGGAGCTCTTTCAGAGTGACCATCAGGTGCTTGGTTACCTTCCTGTCTAAGGCCCTTCTCCCTCAATCGCTCATTTTGGCTGGCCAGCCTGCTCTAGGAAGATTCCTGTTGGTTCCAAACTTCTTCCATTTACGGATGATGGAGCCCACTGTGCTCATTGGGACCTTCAATGCTGCAGAAAATTTTCTGTACCCTTCCCCAGATCTGTGCCTTGATACAATCCTGTCTCAGAGGTCTATGGACAATTCCTTGGACTTCATGGCTTGGTTTGTGCTCTGCCATGCAATGTTAACTGTGGGACCTTATATGGACATGTTTATGCCTTTCCTAATCATGTCAATCAACTGAATTTCCCACAGGTGGACTCCAATCAAGTTGTGAAAACATCTCAAGGATGATCAGTGGGAACAGGATGCACCAGAGCTCAATTTTGAGTGTCATGGCAAAGGCTGTGAATACTTATGTACGTTTTTTTTTCATTTTTAATAAATTGCAAAGATTTCAAAATAAACTTCTTATGTTTTCATTATGGGGTATTGTTTGTAGAATGTTGAGGAAAAAAATTAATATTAATCCATTTTGGAATAAGGCTGTCACATAACAATATGTGGCAAACGTTAAGCGCTGTGAATACTTTCTGCATGCACTGTACATACTTATATTGGTCCAAGCTGGACCAAAGTGACATAATAATGTAAATATGTAATATATCCCATACCCAAATTTAAGCTTTAACATAAAGTGGTTCTAAGTCAAACAATAATATATTTAATAGAAAAAAAAATATATAGCCTTTAGTATTACTTTAGGGCTAATGCACAAGGGTATATGTTTTTTTTTATAGGATCTTATTGGCAGCAAGAGGGCTTATACACACGCTGCTTTCAGATATGTAATGCATACTTTTTTTTAACGATCTGAATGCAGCTGTATGATATGCTATTGGTGCTTTAACACAGTTGGGCAGAGATCTGTGATCTAGAGCTGTGAAAAAGGGAAAAAAATACAAATTTGCGCCATATATTTTGTGCATGTAAATGTTTGTGCTAATGTTTACAAGCATACAGCATAATGTGTACATGGACCCTATTAGCTGCCTCTGCTGCTCAATAGACATGTAAATATCAAACACACATGTAATCACTGCTGGTGATTACACACTTGTTGATGTTTAAATCTACTAATTAATAAGTCTTGTATATGGTAGCAGCAGTGCATGGGCAGACTGAATGACAGCATAATGTGTAATCTGCAGAACAAAAGACTACTTAATACACACTATTGATGTTTACATCTACTAATTAACCACTTGCCCTCCAGAGGATTTACCCCCTTCCTTACCAGGCCATTTTTTTGCAATACGGCGCTGAGTTACTTTAACTGACAAGTGTATGTAAAGTCTAGACTTATTGCTTTGGATAGAGTGAGGAAATAAAAAAAAATCATATTTTGCAATTCCCACATTTTCCACGCCACATCACTGCCCTCTACATCCCCCAGTGTTACTCTTAGCCATTCACTTCCAGGGTGAATGGTGGACAGCATCATTTAATCCCTTTTTGTGAGACGAGGTTCTCATGGACACAGCTGCAAAGGTATGTCATTATGTTCACCTTGGCTCACAGTATGGTTGCCACCTCATCCCCTTAAAACTGAATTACACAGGTTCTGTGGCTGATTAAGGTGGTGATTAAACTCAGTGCCTTATGTGCAATAAATTAGCCCCAAAACCTGTCTAATTAATATGTGTTCGGTTTTTAATGGGATGAGGTGGCAACCCTAGCTCACAGTTCAGCAGCTTAGATTGGCACTTGCACGTTATTATGTGAGTGCTCTTCAGTGATGCAGTAAGGACCACCAGCCATTGATGCTGGGCAAGACAAGGAAGGACTTCCAACATCACTAGACTGGCAAGATGACAGCTTTCCCAAAGGTATGCATATAAGAAACAAAAAAAAAAGAGTGGGTGGGTAGGTTTCTGGGGAGGACTAGGTGGCTGGACATCTGCTTTAAGACTAGGTGGCTGGACATCTGCTTTAAGAGAAGACACACGTCTGCTTGGAAATTACATAATTATGTTTTAATATAGTTTATTATTTACTCTAAAACAGGGGTCTCCAAACTTTCAAAACAAAGGGCCAGTTTACTTGCATTAAACTTTAGGAATAGTGTCCCACAATTGGCGCCAGTAAAAAATTAGTTCCCCATCCTAGTGTCAGTGAAGGAATAGTGTCCCTTCATTGGGGTCTGCGGCAGGAATAATGCCTCGCTACAGTGAATGGAATAGTTTCCCAAGGGCCGTATAAAGGCATGAAAGGGCCAAAGTTGGCCACTGGCCAGTTTGAAGACCCCTGCTCTAAAAGGTAGAACTGTGAAAGTGTACCCAGCGTGTATTGTAGAAACTTGACTTCATGTCTGACTCTTATAAATCTCTTTTATGAGGAATCTTGGCATAATGGTCTGCTCATCAATGTGTGATCTGGGAGGAATAATTACACCATTTATTGTTTATCGGCTGTCAAATGTCTGGAAGGAGCTACCACTCATAGTATTTGGTAAGCAAATCATCACAGTGATAGGATACATACTTCTACATGTTCACAGAAGTATTTTGTGAAAGTCTAAAAGTAATAAACTTCCTAAATATAAAAGAGAAAAAAATTGCATAAAATAGTATAAAACATTTACAGTATTTTCCCACACATTTTACTGAATTCTGCTCTAAGTTTTGCTTCACTTTAACCATTGTGAATAATCAAAGCAATTAATTATTATTCAATTTAATATTAGGTCTTTCTTTTGCAAGTAAGTAGACGCTGACTTAGGGATGCACCGATATCGATACCGGTATAGTTGCCGATACCAAGTATTTTAATAACGAGTATTCGTGAAAATGCTTCCAATACCTGAAACAGATACTCTGTGGTGCGATTTGCGTCCATACAAAATATATGGACGCAAATTGCACCACTTTTATTAGCAGGAGATTTGAACAGAAATGCAATTCCTGTTCAAATGGCATGCGGTTTCCCCACTGCTCTTGTGTGAACCCAGACTTGTCATAGCCGGAGTTCACACAGGAGCGTTGCGGGAAACTTCCCTGCACGGATTCCATGCTGTCACAGAAGGAAAAGCTGGGGATCTGAAATCCATGTGGCTTTTCTCTCTTCTCAGCGCAGGGATGACAGCATGGACTACATGGCTTTTTATTTGCCACGGAACTGACCAATCAGAAGCTGTTTAGCTCATACTGTCATACCTGCAAGGAGACTGTGAAAAGCTGCGGGGGATATCAAATCCCAGACCTGTGAAATGGCCTTCTCTCCTTTCTTGCGGGGATGATAGTATTGGCTAAATGGCTTCTGAATGGTCAGTACCCTAGCAGTGCTGACCAATCAAAAGCCGTCTAGCCTGTACTGTCATCCCTGCACTGAGAAGAGAGAAAGCGCTGGGATTTCAAATCCCCATCTTTTACTTCTGTGACAGCATGTGTTTGGTGCAGGGAAGTTTCCCACATCGTTCCTGTTTGAACTAAGCCTTTGATAAGCCTGGGTATGTGATCTCAGATGCATTCTAGCTTGAACTGTCATTGCTGCAAGGAGAGGAAGGAAAGCAGCGGGGATTTCAAATCCCCACTGCTGTCTCTCTTCTCCTATCACTGAAACTCAGCATGGGATGCCTGCAGGGAGGTTTTCCACACTGCTCCTGTGTGAACTTGGGCTACGACAAACCTGGATTAACATAGGAGCAGTAGGGAAACCACATGCAATTTGGACAGGAATTGCATTCCTGTTCAAATCACATGCTATTCCATGCAGTGCAATTTGCGTATATACATTTTGTATTGATGCAAATTGCACTGCAAAAGTACTGGTACTCGTACTCCCCGATCAAAAAAGGGTATCGGTGTATGCCTACCCTGACTCTATTTTTTTCAGTATTCTTGGCATAATGGGGTCAATTTACTAAAGGCAACTAGATTGTGAGCAGGAGCTCTGTTGACTTACATCATTCTTTTACAATGAATTTTATTATAGATTAGACTGTATCAGAGAAACAGTCATAGACAAAATCACTTACATACATAAGTAAAACGTACAAACTTTCTGATGAAAACTACAATAAATGCACTGAAGTATAGGCCAAGATCTAAACTGAGTAAACATGTGCAGTAAATGAAGAGATGACATAAAACATAATAATTTGCATAAATAGCAGACAATAAAGACCAATGAATCAGTTAAACAAAGGCCAAAAACTTTCACAAAGTCCTGCATCCAGAAAGCAGAGAAAATGGAACACGGAATCTCACTGGATGCATATTAGTACTCCACATCCAGGACTCCCAAGGGAGTCCGACAGGCACATATAATATTGCTGGTATAGTTCTTTAGAAAAAATTACCATCAGCGCAAATATCATGAAAACCAACAAGACAGAAAAGAAAAGAGAGAAAAGAAGAAAGATAAGACAAAAGACAAAGAAAGGGCTCCAGAGGATTGCACCAGAAAAATCCTATATCGATAAAAGGGTCTGGTCAAACCTAGATGGTTGGGCTATATCAAGCCAGGGACGCCAGATATGCAGAAACTTCGTGTGAGTGTCTAATATCATAGCCATTAGTTCTCATTAACCATTATAAAATTAATCCGATTCTTGACTACCTCGAAGCTGAGAAGGGGGAAGACCTCGCAATCGTTCGTTTGGTAGCCATAATTAGACGCGATGTCAGCTGCTGCTGCTCAGGACGAAGTAGGCCCACTAATGGTTTAAATAATAGCGCTTTGTATGGGTTGCGCTTAATGTTTGTGTGAAAGTGCGGAGAAGGGTATAAACCCTTATCCACAATCTGAAAACCTAACTGACTTCCATCATTCAATCATGTGCAAGAAAAAATGCTGTTTTTTATTTTCCTTCATGTGATTGGGTATTCTTTGCAAAGTGAAGCTTTACCTCATTTACTAAGTTCTGGAGGAATTGCACTGGCAGTCTATTTGCCTTTAGTAAATCAACCCCAATGTTTATAGTTTTATACCCCTTCTGCATAGAGAACACATGAAAACAGGGGGGTTGCTTGCTTGGATTGGGTACAACTTACTGAATGCTTTGCATTTTTCTTAATGAATGCAAGGTGTTTATTGACTGGACTAGGTGGGTATTGTGACAACACGGCACTGCCTCTCCACAAAGTCCAATCAGGAGACACTTTTAAACATTGAGAAAAATGCAAGGAAAACTGTGAATGCTGAATGGGTGACATTCTGTGGTTACAATGCAGCAGGGCAATGGCTAGGCAATGGACCTGGAAGATAGAGTCAAACACTGTAGTAGTGAATACTACTACAGTGATTTCCAGCTTCCACAGGGAACCCATAGGTACAGCATATCCATGTTTACAGTTTTCCAAGTTGGACCAACGTAACTATGCAAGACACACCACAGCTGGAATTCTGCTTTATTGTCTGACACTGCACAGCAGCTTGAGATTTGCAGTACCTTCTCATTGAAATACATAAACATATGTAAACAACTTTTTTGTATCTTTATTGAGCTTATATATTTGTTTGTTTCTGCTTCCTTTTGATCATGTACTCTAGCTGTAATTGGAACATTTTCAGGAGTTCTTGTTTTGCTTCTTCCTGAAACTAAAGGACGGGCTCTACCAGAAACTATTGAAGAAGCAGAGAATTTGCAGAAGTAAGTCTGACAAACAGGATCATTTACATATCTGTCTACATGATAGGCCAAATGTACTATGAAAAAGCCTCAATGTTTGTGTTGCTAAGTTCTTTTTGTTTCATAAAAGAACCCATATATGCTAAAGAGATGTAGACAATAGACGTACTGTAACTATCCATCAACTTGATCAATTTGAGCTCTAGAAGGTTTTACCCTCTTGGTGACCAGGCCATTTTTTGCTATTCGGAACTGCGCTATTTTAACTGGCAATTGCACGGACATGCAACACTGTACGCATACAAATAGAGCTTTCTTTTGGCAGTATTTGATCTTCACTGGGTTTTTTTTATTTTTTATCACATAAACAAAAAAGACTAAAAATTTGGAAAAAAAAAAAACAATATTTATTATTGTCTGCTATCAAACATATCCAATAAAAAAAATTAAAAAATGTCTTCATAAATTTGGTCCAAAATGTATTCTGCTACATGTCTTTGAAAAAAAATCCCAATATGTTTATATTGATTTTTTTTGTCTGAAAGTTACAGTGTCTGCAAACTTTGGAACATATACTGGAAATTTTTTTTTTTATTTGTACTGGTGGTGATCATCGGCATATAATGAGTGCAATGGGCCATCTGACACTAACTGGCATTGGGTGGGAACAGGGGCGAACTGACCATTTGGAAACTCGGGCACTGCCCGAGGGCCCGGGGTCAGTAGGGGGCCCCTGGTACCTAAGGCCTTTTTGTGTTTGGGCAAGGACACAGGGGCCCCATGATCCTCTATTGCCCGGGGGCCCCATGAGTTGTCAGTGACTGGGTGGGAACTGACTAACTGACATGACATCATTGATGACGTTTACAGTGATTAGTAATATTATACACTGTCACTGTGCTAATGACATTGGCTGGGAAAGGGTTGATCACAGGGTGAAGTGTGGGCCTAACAAACATTAACCTGTGTATTATGTGCTGCTTTTTACTAAAAAATGTTTGTTCCGTCTCCCTGCTGTGCAGGGAACAGAAAAAAAAGAGATTGTTCCCTCTGTACAGAGCCCTGTGTTGTCAATCTGGGCTGAGATTGGACACAGCAGGTTGGATGTGCGCATGCCCTGAACCAGGAAGAAGGCAGTGACATACAGGTACATTGCTGTGCCTGTAGGAGCCACCTGTCCGTGGTACAACGTGGGCAGGCGATCCTAGAGTTGTTGCTTAAAAGAGATGCATGGCCAAAGCTTTTCTGGGTATACTTCTTTTGTGGTTCACACTTGTGGGTACACTTACTTATGCTCTCTTGTGATCAGTCAGCTAATAGCGGGCTGTTGCCTGCTATCCGCTGACATGGCAGAGCAGTATCAGGCTTTAGAGGATCCCAACCATATTGTCATGATCTATTCGGCTGCCTGCTTGGCAACTGGTTCTGCCTCCCAATGTGTGGTTGAGAGCTGGAGCCAGCTGTGACCACCACCTCCCCTGCTTGGCGATCCACTGAGTGCTGGAAGAGCAGAGAGCGGTGACTCTGACAGGTAATTAAGGCATCTTTTTTGTTTTAATAAAAAAAAAAAACAACAAACTTTACAACCGCTTAAATGGTACAGTTTAAACCTCTTACCGCCGCCAATGACCGATTGGCGACCGGCAAAATCTCTCAGTGTTCCGGGTGGACACCATATGGTGTCCTTTAGGGCATGCGCAGTTTGCGCGCCTGCAGAGCCGCGCGGCGGCACGATCTGTCACCGGCTGTGTACCTCGGACACAACCGATGACAGATCTGAGATACCAGCCCCGTTGCTGGTACCATGTGACCTGCTGTGACCAATCACAGCAGGTCACATGACAGTTGTATACAACGGATGGCTTCCTTTCATGCCATCCATAGTATACAAGTGTGTCTAGCTGTGAATGGTCACAGCGATCACATGCACAAGCTGGGCCAATCACAGCCCAGCTGTGTCATGTGATTAGCCGTGGCCTAATCACAGCTAAACATAAAAAAAAAAAAAAAAGCCCTGAATGAATTGATGTAATTCAGGTAAATGCTTGCTTATAGCAAAGTAATTCTTTGCTATAAGCAAATTGTGTTAAGAAAAAAAAAAAAATACTGCTATGGTAATATTGTACTACTTTGGTCATAGTGAAATATGAAATAAAAATCTTAAAAAAAAAAAAAAAAATTTAATAAAAAACTAAAAAAAATTATATTTTTAAATATATTTTATATATTTTTTTTTCATACTGTCACCAGTCAGTGTCTCTGATCACCACCATGCCAGTTATATGATGACGCTATACTGCACTGGTGACAGTATGTAAAAAAAAAAATAGTGAAAATAATTTTTTACATTTTTTCATTTTCCAAAAATGACAAAAAAATACAACTTCAAAAAACTCGCCATGCCTTTTATGAAGTACGTCGGGTTGTCTACTCTGCAAAAAGGGGTCATTTCGGGGATATCTGTACTGTTCTGACATTCTTGGACCTCAAGAAATTAGATTGGCTGTCAGTACTTTAGGATTGATCAATATTCAGATATATCCCATAGTTTGTGAACTCTATAACTTTCCTACAAACTAAATAATACATCCTAATTTGGGTTATTTTCACCAAAGACATGTAGCAGAATACATCTTGGCCTAAATTTATGAAGAACAATTTATTATTTGCAAACTTTTATAACGGAAACAAAGAAAAATATGTTTTTTTTTTCAAAATTTTTGGTCTTTTTTTGTTAATTTAGCAAAAAATATAAACCCCAGTGCTGATTAAATACCACCAAAAGAAATCTCTAGTTGTGTGAAGAAAATGATGAAATTTTAGTTTGGGTACAATGTTGTATGACCGCGCAATTGTCATTCAAAATGTGAGAGCGCTGAAACCTGAAAAATGGCCTGGGCAGGAAGGGGGTAAAAGTGCCCTGTATGGAAAACGGTTACATCTATTTATCTATACTGGTGGGAAAGAGTGGTTTCGCCTTGTATTCAGAAGATGCATAGTCATTGATTTTAATGGCCGAGCATGCAAACTGGAGGTCTACCAAAAGCAATATGCTTTCAAAACCACAACTGTGAAAAAAAGTCATTAAAGCTTAAAGTTGAATTCCAGGCTAGAGTTAACTAAGCTTAAAACTACTCCCGTCTATCTCCTAGAGCTTATACTACCTACCCTGTAAAAGTAAGATGCATATACTTACTTATTCTCAGGATGGTTACATGATCTCCCCAGCAGTCGAATTCAGGTGAGAGGAGAGAGCACCAACAACAGATGGACTGTGATATCATCCATAGGTTTACTATGGGGCATCTGTTGTCAGCTGTCCCGCCTCTCCCCTGAAGCTGGCCATTTGGAGCCGATCACGTGAGTTGACAGAAGCATCCCGAGAATAGGTAAGTATATGCATCTTCCTTCTACGGGGTAATTAGTAAAAGTGTTAGAAGGAGGGTTAGAGCAGTTTTCAGCTTAGTTATTTCTAGCCCTGATATCCTCCCAGGATAGCGCTCTATGGGCCACCGAACACTGGACACGGCCAATGACAGATCACTATACTGGTTTACAGCTGGTGCCATGTGAATGCTGTGACCAATCACAGCAGATCACATGATAATTGTACACAATGAATGGCTCTGGGGTTTTTTTTTCGTTTATTTAGTCGATTGCGATACACATATATGATATGTGTATCGCAATCGTCATTTTCATACATGGGCACCCCCAACACGTCCGTTTTTAGGTTTGCACGTGTGTATATGTGGGAGTGTGGTAACCTCAAAAGCTTTGGGGGGGGGGGATTTTGTTTGCTTGGGTATACATGGAATTTTTTACAATTAAAACATTTTTTTACATTTTACATCACATGGGTTAAAAAAAAGTCCCCTATGTCAAACTGGCGGCCCTCCAGCTGTTGCCAAACTACAAGTCCCATGAGGCATTGCAAGATTGACAGTTACAAGTATGACTCCAAAGGCAGAGGCATGATGGGACTTGTAGATTCGCAACAGCTGGAGGGCCGCCAGTTTGACCCCCCTGCCCTATGTGATGATTTTTTGGTAACAGGTTCTCTTTAATGAGACATTTGCGGTCTCAAAGACCTGACTGGAGGCAGTCTGCTTGTCAGATTTCCACACAATCTCAGTGCCTATAGCCATAGTGTGTAAACTCCCCTGCTGTCAAGTCAGTATGACGTATGGACCTGGCAGCAAAAAGGTTAAAGGAGAAATAGGTTGAAATCTCATTTGGTCCTACTTCTCCTGTGCACTTTGTTCTGCACTCCTGTGACCCATATTCAGCTGACAACAGGCTAAAGCCTGCCGTCGACTGACATCACTCAGCTGATCCCGACTCTGGAAAGATCCCAACAGTCACTGGTGCTCTGCTCACTGAAGACTGAGACCTGAGCGACCAGTGTTCTTTGATCATTCGGTTCTCAGTGTAGAGTCAGAAGGGGAAAGGTGCAGCATCAGATCAATGCTGTATCCACCTAGGTGAGTGCAAATGTTTGTTTTTTTGTTTTTTTTTTTCATATCCCGAACTTTGCTTTTAACTAGAAATCAACACAGGCTGTATACACGAATACAACTGCATTTCCCATTTCCTGCAGAGGCAGCACACAGGTAAATAGTTGTGAATTTCAGTGATCTAAAAAATAATTTTCAGTAGATAACTGTAACCCTGTCATAAATCCATGTTTTGTTTTTTTAAAAAAAACGAAAGCTGTTGATTCCTGAGCAGATCACGGACCTGCCGATGGGCATGTATAGAGTGGGGCATGTACAAAGAGGAGGAGAGGATCTGCTCACTGGGGAAGCAGTTGTCAGTCAAAGCAGGAGGGCTGGGTAGTGGGTGTAGCTGTACACTGACTACAGAAGATACAGCCATGTTGTGATCTTGCACAGCATGCCTGTATCTAACAGTGGGATGACAGGAGACTTAAACTGACCACACTAGCATGGATTCGCTGCCATGCTTAGCATGGTCTGTTTACTATCAGGAGGAGGGGCACAGGCAGGATCAAGCAGGTAATTG